CGCATCCTCATCAAACACAACCTGAGAAAGGATCCAATCGTCCGTGATCACCCCGGGATTGGGCTCTGCGCCCACCATCGGGGGAATGGGCCACAGCCGGCTGTCTAAGCCGGGGGCAGCAGGCGCGGCGTTGCCGCGAAGGGCGTTGGCCTCGTCGTCCACGAAGCCCGGCCCACGATGAGAAGCTCCGGGGGACGCCATTGCTCGTACAAGTAGGCGATGGGAGCAGGTAGCGGGTCACGTCCCGCAACCGGATCACCAGCCCCAGCTTCTAGCTGGTACGGCTGATAACCTGCGGTTTTGGGCGAACACGAAGTAGCCCAGGGAAGCAAATGAGCACAAGGTAGATCACAAAGTGCCCACAGCACCCGGAAACACAACTCGGGTGAAGCTGTGGATGATGACCGGGTTGAGGATGTGACGGTAGAAGAGGAAGATGTTTGGGGAGGTTTGGAAACACGTTGCAAAAGTAAATCGGGAAGTATGCCACCAAGCCCAGGGCGCCCGCGCCGTAAAACCAGGTACCTCCTAGTGCCAGCCCTATCCCGCACCAAGCAGCAAACTACTTAATGAGGGGGAAGACCGCCGCACTATGGCGCCTGACGTTTTACCGCAGAATACCTGTCGGGAGGTGGAAAACTTGAGCCAAACGGCCATTCGGCCGTTTTGCCACATGATGAAACAACACGTGAACAAAACACAAACCTGAAGCGTCCTTTCCTACGAGCAGTTCAAGGTACGCTCAGCATCGGGAGTCCTTGAGCTCCTGCTGCAAACGCTTCACGTTCTCAAAGACCTTCTTGTAGCAAGCAAGCTTTGGCCTCACGCGGCTATGGTTGATACAGGTCCTCCAGATTTGAGAGGTTAGAAGAAGGGTACCAACTTTTTCTCTTTTTTTCCTTTTTTTTCTGTAGTCTACTTTAGTAGGGGAACCCTCCCCCAAAAAAGGGGTAAAAGGGCACTGCTGGGGGATAGTACATATTCCCGAGCCTCGGCCCCCAGTTTTGACCATGGGGGACTTTTCCCATGTCACGGACATATCATCTTCTTGGTGGTTTCCCCCAATGGAAGTCCCATGCAAAGAACCTTTTGATCAACCCCCCCATATACCCGACACGTAAAGCCATCAAAAAAAGATAGGGACCCACCCAAACGGATACCCATCAACCTGCACGACCGATACGAGGCCCAAATGTGGGGGTGCCCTTTGATTTCCACACGCAGAAAGGGAACCTACCAGACTCTCGTGCCATCCTGCCCATTCAAGACAGCCTGGTTGTCTGCTCAACATTACAAAGCACGGAAATGTGAGGGATGAGCAGGCAGTATAGTAAATGAAATGGCTGTAAGAATGGCATGGCTTGTGTCAGAAGCTGTACAGCGTTTGAGGCTATAAAATGTCATCTATGCCATGGTCTCCCAAGACAAACAAAACACAATGCATCGACATCCATTGGATGGACTCTGGTGAGGTTCCTTCCAACGCCCAGGACTAATAGGATAACTAGGGCGTGTCTCGAAGTCAGACAAGCTTTCACGCAGGTTGACTGCAATTGTCATCTGGAAACGGTCCACGGGGAAAAAACACACATATTTTCAATAGTGATGGATTCCTCTTAAACACCAACAGGGGAAAAATCACATGGAAGCTAAGGTCGTTCCCCAGATTTCCCGTGCCGACCGCAGAGCTCCCGCCATGCGTCAAGCGCCTCGCCTATTCTTGTCCACCAGCCCGGCTTCCAGGTGCTCCTAGCGCAAGCCGCAGTAAACTCGAGTCCCGAAGCCGGAACTCGGTTTGAGACTGTTGGGGAAGCTGCGGTTCCCCTAAATATGGCTATGGGGCCAGTGAACATCCCAATCCCCACTAAAATAGGTTCTAAAATGGGTGGAGAATTCACCTACCAACCAAGATGGTACCATTGGTACACTCGGTGCAAAAAACACAAGCAATAGACTGGCAACTTGGTGGTTTCAGACTAATGGGGAAGCTCTCCAAGGATCTCGCAGTGAAAACGCTCATTCAAGGCTCCCATGGACATATTGAGAACAAATGTCCGCTGGTTCTCTATGACTGGAATCCTTGACCTATCAATGTGTTGTCTGGTGCACAGGGTGCGGGCCACCCCTGGAAACCTGCTAACGCTCGGGACTGCAAACAGGTGTTTCTGTCCCTGGCATGCGGCAAACAGTTTCCGAAAGCCATGCATTCACTTGTTCGCTTGTCTTGCCTTCTCGATCTGCGTGCTAATCGCAATCTTGTGCAAGGCGACCTAGAACGTCAGCTCTCGAATCGCTGTCCATTCCAAAAAAGCCATGCTGGTTCCAAGCAATTTCATGGCCTTTGACACGTCATTCACGCCCCGCTCTTGCATCGCAGCAGTGTGACTCATTCCCAATCTGGATTCACAGCAAGCCGAAGGCGAAGCCCAACTTTTCGCGCGGAAGGCGCCGAAGGTCCTCGTTGTTTCCGGGCCGATTTACCCCGTGGCCTCACTGAGCCCTCTTCGCCGTCCGCGCCGAGTGCGGAATCGGCGCATCGCCCGGAGCCCCGTCGCCCGCTCCAAGGGTCGCGAAGGGTCGCAGGGTCTCGCGGCTCAGTCGCGGCTCTAGGTGTAGAGCATGTCGTTCTGGGGGGACCAGGCCTGACACAGTCTTGCTCGCTGCACCAACCATTCGATATCACATCCGCAGCTTCTAGGTGTTCTGAGGAACAAAAAGCACCGCACCATGAAAGTCAGTAGAGCTGAGTGTGCCACTACAAGGGTTCTGGCACACAAACAGGCCTTGCCCATCATCTCTCGGCTTTGGTAGAAGCCGACAGGAAGCTTGGCGTACTCGAACAGCTCAAAACCTGCAAAGCATCAAGATCCCGATCAATGCAAAACATTCTTAGTACAGGGGTTACTGGATGTCCCCTTGAAAAGTTACAATTGACTGGTTAGCTTCCGTTGAAACGATCGCCCACCTTTTGGAGGTTCCAAAAAGGGAAATGAAAGTAGCCCTGTACATGTAAAAAAAAGCATCTTCACAGCAATGGGATGGTGCATCGGAATGGCGAAACTTGATGGTTCTGGGTTGGAACTCAAGCACCCCGCTCCATTGCATGTCCCTACAGTTTCTCACCATTCCAATCACCAGGGGTCATCGCCCCCGCAAGACCCAATGTGTACCTACAAGAGCACCCAACAAAAACACCTTTAAATGTCCCCTCAACAAAGCTCAAACACACCAATCTCCTCCCTTCCATCGCTCCATTCCCCTCATCCAATCTCATCCCCCCATCCTCACATTCGCCCCATCCGCGAATAGAATCGATTCGCCTCCAAGGACCAAGGGACGTCTTGTTCCACCAGTGCGCGTTGCCCAAGTCCAGCACCGCGCAGCTCACCGCATCCTGCACCTCGCGAGATCGGCTCTTCGAGCTGACTTCCGGTGGCAAAGACTTCCGGTGGCAAAGGTGTTACCAGATTCCTGGAACCCCTTGAGAAGGCGGCGATGGTCAAGTTTGGGGAAGTCTTTGCATTGGCAAGTAACAAACAGAATTCATTGCAATGGTCGTGACCTTTGAGAGGCGATCGACTCGGTACGTCAGGCAAGTGGAAAGTAATGGACAAATCAATTGCTTGGGGGGGCTCACAGCCCTGTGAGCATCATGGCTAGCTCTCACTAGGTATCCTCCCCCAGGCGATTCCATGGAAGCTGCCAGGACCCCTTATCAATTTAGAGAGGCCTGGGAGCTTCCATGTTGACGGATCCCAAGTGCCAAGGCCACTTTGGGTCCTGAAGACTGAAGACCTGAGAAGCTGGCAGCCAGGCGGAAGGTTTCGCCTTCCTGCGATGTGAAGCCCCCGAAGGCCGACGGCGTCGTCAAAACGTGTGTGTGTGTGTGTGTGTGTGGCGTAAAGGCAAAGTGAAAGAAACTGACGCCTGCCTTGAGATCACAAGCCCCAAAAAGGCCCGATGTCCGTAAAAGGCTCGATTCTATACCCCTTAAGTGGGTTGGACACCAGCGAAAGGGGTATGAACAAGGGGTATGTACTTCCCGTAGATGTTTGGCTAAATTCTGCTTTCCCATCACTGCCATGATATCACTTCTGAATGCACCTCTCATGGATCGGATCGAATGTCAGCGCTGGACACATGGGATCATGGGATGAACAAGAATACTACTGCAACCTCGCTCAACAAACCGCGCAATGTCGAGCCAGCTGGCTGATAGACTGCATGGCTTCTGCGTTGCCATGGATAATTCTATTGGTTGCTTCTCGGTTTGGAAACATGCTGTGTTTCCCCTTCTACAATTACACTCACTCACTCACACACTCACTCCTCACCTCACTTCACCTCCAGTTCAGTCCAGTCCGCTCACACAAACAAGCAAACAAACCAACAAGCAAACAGACAGACAGACAAACAAGCAAACAGACAAACAAACCACCAACCAACCAACCTCCTCGCATTCTGTGGCCTTTCCACGGACCTCGCACATGATCATGCCAAGGCGACGGCGCGGTCCTGCAAGGCCATCCCTCTGGTGCCGCCCAGCCAAATGGCTGCGGACAGAGCTTGACCATAGGTGGCCTTTTGCAAAAAATAATGGGCCTGGTAAATGGGTAATAAACCATCTAAACCAGGAATCGCCCTCTATTTTTTAAGCAAACAAACCAAAAAGGACACCTATGAGCTTGACACTTGCGGGTTTGGCGTCTGACGTGAGCGATGGGAGGCTTCCAAACCCCAAATTTGGCTGCTTTGAGAACGACGGGGGCGTGCAGAGCTGTTTTTAGATCTGTTGAGGCGAACGGCACTGTAGGGCCGCAGGGGCCGCAGGGGCCCTCCAACTGTCTGCAGAAGCCGCCCGCCCGAAAAGAAAATTGAGGTCCAACGCTGTCCAACTGACTGCAGAGTGATAGTGCCGCAGTGCCACAGGGGTGTCGCCCCACCAGTGCCTGACCCCGTGTCAGGCTGGCACTTGCACCTATCGGTGCCACATGCCTTTTTTAAAGCTTGGAGTCGACCGGCACCCGCACCAACATCTTTCCAGTGTTGGTCCCCTGGAACAGGCCCAGGATGCCATCCGGCAGGTTCTCGAAGCCATCCACGAAGGTGCAGCAGTCTGAGATCTTGCCCTCCTTCATCCAGGACAGCATGGTGTCCCTGCCTTGGTTGCTGCAACGACCCCCCTGATCAAAAACTTTCATGTTTTTGGGGACTTAGCATAATTAAAGCCCAACTTGATTTCAACAGGGATCCTTACATTATACACCCGAAGATTGCCTTGTACATGGTGGTGTCCCTTTATGTTGGTGGAGAAAAAACAACATGTTTCAAATGGTGGCAAAATGTATCTTTTAAGGAGCCCTGTTCAACCAAAAGCTAAAGTCTAAAGATCCGTTGCCCAGTCAAGCTACAGTCCTGAAGCTCCTCCGGAGTGAACTGGAAGAGCAAGAAGCCTAAATCGCCCAGGTGGCGTCTCATGCTACTTGGACGACCAGAAAATCTGTAAAATCAACAAAATTGATTGACTTTTGGCCCCACAAAAAGAAGACAACTTTTGGGTTGAAAAACCTTGGGTGAGCAACCGACTCGAACGCAAAAGCGAGAAGAAGGATGGGAAACGCCATGAAGAAACTACGCCGGTTGCGTTGCTCACTTGTTGGCCTCCGACCACTTTACCAACCAAATAACAGTAGCCAATGAACCAATGAAGCAATTAACCAGCCAATGAACCAACCAATTGAATCGAACGAACAAACTGCGGATGAACTTCTTTATTGTTACGTCCATTTCATCAACTGAAGGAAGCTAGAAAGGCCTCACGGGATCCCCATACTTCCAAAATGTTCTGTGCTGTGCCTAGAATAAAGGGCCCAAGAAAAACACATCATTTGGAACATCCGAAAAAATAGTCATGTTCAAGACCAAGGCCGGAATGTTTCAAATGGCTTTGCTCTCCAAAAGTTGAACAGTTGGTTCGTTCGATTCAATTGGTTGGTTCATTGGCTGGTTAATTGCTTCATTGGTTCATTGGCTACTGTTATTTGGTTGGTAAAGTGGTCGGTTCATCGCCTGGTTTGAATTGGTTGGTTTTCTAGGTCCTCCTTATTATAAGGGTACCCTTTTTCTGTAGTCTATTTTAGGGGAACCCTCCCGACCAAAAAGGCTGATCAAAGGGCACCTAGCTGGGGGACCTACTTTTAATTGATTTTAATTTTCAGCGGTTGGCTCTTGGCAGATGGCTTTTCGTTGGCTCTTGGCACATCCTTCCGCGACTCCGCGCCGCGACTTCCGCGCCTTCGATGCGGAGCTTCTTGGCCACAGCCTGGAAGAGGTTCCGCACGCCGCTGCGCGCCTCGGGGCGTAGGTCGTACTGCGAGATGGCCCCGCAGAGCGCCACAGAGCCCCCGTCGTTCAGCATGTCCTGCGGCTGAGCTGCCCGGAAACAACGGGGCAACCGGAACCCCAAAAAGGGGGTGGCCTAGTGGTTGGCTTTTTTAAACCAGGCTGAAAAGGATAGACTCGAAATGTCTTAGAGTCACCCGTTTGGGGAAAGGTGGGTCGGGTGTTTGAGTGGGGGCCGCCTGTGGGTCTGTCCCTTTTTAGAGTTGGCACTTTTGCTTTGGGTGTTTATGGGAGCAAACGAGTCAACTGCTTGGCGCAGTTGGGTTTGCCTCTTTCAGAGTTGGCACTTCCGTTCTTTTGGAAAACTGGGGGTTGATCAAAATGTCCGTAATGCATGGGGTGACCATTTGGCAAACCACAGAAAAATATTTGTTCCCACGTGGGACAAGTTCCCCATGCTCATTTTGGGCCCTAAATGGAATATTGATCAACCCCGAGGTATGGCGGGATTGGAAGGGGAAAAAAAAGGAACACCACTATTTTGGTGGGTCTCCAAAAACGAGACACCGCTCATTGAGAGGGGCCCCTTCTCAAGAAGCAAGGGTTGGCAAACACACCCATTTTGACAGCTCAAGAACCACTGGCTTCCCCAATCACCATGAGAAAGCTTTTGAGTACGACACTCTAAGGACCCGTAGCAACCCCTTCCTGTGTGAGAGTGCCTCCACTTCCTCCACTCAATTCACAGGTTACATGTCGCCATATCTCCCATCTTCCACGTGCGGTTCGCCTTCCCACTGGCAGGTTTGTTGTCCAGTCTCCAGAGGAAAGCCGGTACCTTTGACTGTGAAGTCTGGCCGAGGCAAAAAGAAACGTGTAGATGCTCATACCCCATCATGTTCACCTACGATTAGTAATTGGTCTCCAAATACAGTTGTTTTGGGGCCCTCAGTTGTTTTGTGGGGGGAGGGGGGGACGGGGCGGCTTGTTCATCAGCGGTGGTCATTACCGGACCAGAAGCGAGGTGAAAATGGTCGAGCCCCGTCCAGCATGGCTTCCAGCGTTTCGCCGCCCACATTGTCAAAGCAGACATTCAGGCCATCGGGGGCGATTCTCTTGAGAGCAGCCAGCACCGGCTCCTCCTTGTAATTGAACGCCTGGCGGTCAAACCAGCGCCCCTTGAGCTTTCCAGATTCAGGGGTCATGTATGTCGAGTATATGACTGCAGCAACATACTCGCACACTGGGGGCAAAAGGGAAACCGAAGTGACATGTCTGCAAAACATGAGCAAGCACAAGCAATCTCTCAAGCCAGCCCGGCGAGCCCAATTTAAACATGCCTTCATGCTATCCATCCGGCTGGCAAGCCAACAGTCGCCAACCCTTCGACGATGCCAGGACTTTGAAAGAAGCGAAGTGCTGCCTCTGCCAAATGGGCGTGAACAAAAAGACACATGAATGCTCGGAAGGGGCGTACTCGGTGAGCAGGAGGCAGCTCAGTCTCTTGCTCTGAAATCAGAATTGCCTTCATGCCCAACAGGGCTGTTGGCCATGGGCCTCATTGAGCTAGGATTGCTTTGAAAGGCGTGTCTTGGGCCAATGCCACGATGTCTCAAACGCGACGAACACAAAGCCGAAGGGAGCTGCCCAGCTGAGCTCACTGGACCTGGACCCCCCACCTCGAAGCCTTGGGCTTGCAGCATCTCTACCTTCTCCTCGGGCCGTCCGTTTGCCAAGCGCCGGAAAAGCACGAGGAGTCTACTTTACTTGCTGCTCAGCACAGGACTTTTCCGGGTGGAAGGAGATTCCCGAATAGAGGAAAACAAATCGGATGGATGGGTCTGTTTTCCGGGTCATTCCATTTCTGGTTCAGATATCCAACTAGCTAGATTTCTCACCCCTTGCTTGGGCCTCTCGGACGCGAAAAAAGCGAACGCCTGAAGGCAAGGCCCGTCTCAAACGGGTGCCATATGGGTGTGTCCTTCTTTTGAGGGAGGAAAACCACCATGTGGATGGACCAAATCCGTTCGCACAACTTTAAAGCCATGGTTGAAACCATAACGTTTGTTGGTATTTACAGGGGAATCGGTGGTGCGAAATGGATTTCGTCCAATCACAGTATTGTGGATCCTTTTGAAAAAACAAGCGGTGGTGTCTGCTTTTGATGGTACCCTGTTTGGGCTTGGTTTTTTCAGGAAAGCCAAAAGTGACGCCAGCGCAGGTCTTTCCCTTTGCTGAAAGGAGTCGTTGTTTTTTGTCCCCCCCCCCCACTTTTTTCTTCGGTGGTGTTGGGTTTTTGCTTTCCACTGGTGGTGTTCGGCTGCTCTCTTTTTAATTGGTGGTTTGGATTCCGTGTTGAACCCCTTCTTGCAGAGGCCAAATGGGCAGCCAACCCTTAACCACCAAACCAATCCAAACCACCAAGCAGAGGGAAGCTGATTGCTGAAAAGAAGAGGTGGTTGTTTTCGTTGGGTGGATTTCAAGGGAATCGGCGACTTTTTTCCGGGACGCTTAAGCAAATGGAAGTTTCTTGTTCTCGTCAGGAAAAACCTGGTCGTTGCTTTGGGAAAAAGGCGTGGTTTAGGAAAATAGAGGGACCTGCGCGTTGGAGTCCGTCCGGCTCCTTGGTCCTTTTCCCTTAGGGAGTCTTTTTCTACCACCCAGGGAACCTGAAAATCAAAGGACCTTTGGACCTTTGGAAGTCCCCACTCCTTGGTCCCTGCATTCTTCAGTACCCGGGGCACATGCAGAAAAATCACCCCGCCGGACTCCGGCCCCGCGCTTTGCACGTCCGGCTCCGTCCGTCCGGCCCGTCCCCGGCTCCTTGGTCCCTGCGGAGCCGATGACTCGGCAGCCCAGGTTTTTGAAGGTATGGCAGGCCACCAGCCCCGTGGCGCCCGCCGCCCCCGAGACGTAGGCCACGTCCCCCGCCTTGGGCCGCGCCACGAACTTCACGCCGCAGAAACCTGCGGAAAGGAGGGAAAAAAAACACGGTGCCACCAAAAAAACGAACCTAAGAACCACCAACTAAGATTGGTGTCTCTGAAACTTGGTTGGGGCTGAGCTCAAGAAAATCCCCCAAAAACTGAGCCGCAAAAAGGGCGTCGAACAAATATATGTTGTTTGGGTTGACCTCAGAACATGTGAGAAAAAGCACAAACCTAAGAACCTGCCTGGGCATTGAACCAATCTAAACCCGTGGAACCCATCTAATTGTATCGAAGGACATGGCTTCACAGATAAAAGGGCGTGTCTGAAAATCGGGCGGGGCTGACCTCAAAAAATCAGGGGCAAACACGGATCCATAAAACCGGCCTGTCCGTTTTCTGACACACTAAACATAGATCGGCACTTTGGGAACATAGATGCGTCTGCCTGGTAAATAGTGGCACAGAACCCATCTGAACCATGAGTGGAACCCATCGATGTTAAACCAAACGACCGATCAGAAGGACATGGCTTCACACATTTGAAATCATGGTGTCCTTCTTGTCCGTTTTCTGATCCCCTGCTAAAAGTTGCTCACTTGTGGGTCAATGGAAACTCAACCACTAAACCCACTGCGACACCTAGGGGGACAGATGGGAACCAAAGACAAAAGTTGTGTCTGAGAATTGGTTAGGGCTGGCCTCCAAAAATAGGGAGAGATCTTAACAAATCCCGCCAAGCCAACCACCCACCCATCAAACCTCATCTAATGGTGTGTGGTAAATGTGGGAAACCCCACAAAATGGGTGGTTTGCTTTTGGTTTCCCTTGACAACCAAAAAGGGTGCGAAACTTTCTGGCGCGGAAACTCAACCCACCCCACAAAGGCCCAATGCGCCAAACAACTTGGGGGTCAGACCCCCCCCCAAGTAGTCTCTAAGTAGTTGCTAAAATTGGCTTCATATTTGCTTGGCATTGGCATAGTATTGTCTTAGTCTTACAGATTTGGGGGAGACAGCTTTTTCGTCTGTAGGATGTTTTGTGTTGAGTAGCCGTGTCCTGTCCCCGAGGATTGAATATTCTTCAGCAATTTCAAGAATTTGGTACCCCTTGATTAATCGGTGACCCACGTGGAAAAATGGGAATCTAGTGGCTTTTCTAAGGGGGATCCAGAACCCTTTCGGGGGAACCTTTTGTATTCATCCCAGTGCAGCAGCCATAGACACGTTGTTCCTTGACGTTGTTCCTTGTGGCGAACAAAGGGTGCAGTGGGTGGGCCTGGCACTTGCAAGGTGGATTCCTCGCATACAACAACAATACCCTTGAACGACAATCATGCAAAAGCAAACTTGCAATTACAACTCTCGAGGTCAACTTTTTCCGGCTACCCACAGTCCAAACGGAAGGTCCTTTTACGTCGGCCCAAAAAGCGCTGTCTAAAACCAAAAGGGGAAATACAGGCAGCCTGACAGTGGCAACTGGATCTGGGTGGATCTCCTTTTTGGCCGTCCCCAAATCCCTGTAGTGGGTTCAATGAACAAAAACAACTACCACTAACGCCAAAAAGCAACAAACAAAAACTATGGGACCACCAAGTTTTTTGCCTCCGCTTGTCACCCGGCTCGTGCAAAACGCTTGCGGATTTCGTGCTCGCTCCCGCCCGCCTGTCTTGGCTGTGAGCTCCAGGCAGGAGAAAGCTGCGGAGGGTGCCACGCCCTGCGGTTGAGCCATGGTCTTGGGGTGGTTTGGAGTCGATTTAGGAAGCAAAGGGCTGACATCCAGGCTGCTGTTGGGCGGCTTTAGGGTTGACTTTGGGTGGACTTGGTTGGCTTGCAGCTGATTTGACATATAGGTCACCTTTTTGGAAAAGTAGATGGCCCTGGTTCATAGGGCATGAAACAAATCTAAACCGGGGGAACCAACCTATCTTTAACCAAAGGAACCAATCAAAAGGACATGAAGGGGGTACCCTCAAACAGACCCTACACACGTCAGAGAAAAGCAAATACACAGCTCGAAACAACACAAACAACAAATCTCAAAAAAAACACGTCCAATCCAATCCCCTACTTTCGAAAGGAACAAACAAGCAAACTACGCGCGCGCAACCGCCGGTTTCGGAAACCGGGCCTCCGGGATCTTCCGACACGTCTCCGCCTCCACCGCGTTGATCTCGCGCCAGGGCGCCGAGGTCACGACCACCTCACGCGCCGCTCGCCGCGCGCCGCGCGTTGCTCCCCCGCGTGGCGTCGGCGTCGGTTTGGGAAGGCTCCGGGAAGGGCGGGGCGGGGGGTGGGTGTGGGGGTGGGTGTGGGGGGGGGGGGGGGGGGTGTGGGGTGGGGGGGGTGGCAAAAGATGAAGATTCTGACACTGAAGCAGGCGTTGTGCATTGATGTTTGTTGGGGGAAATCGTGTGGAGAATTCCAAGACTTGTGTTTGTACTTGTGCACGTCAAGCTGAAAAGGCTCGGCATTTGGACAAATGCCAAGAGTGTTCCTCTCTCTGTTCCGTTTAGAAGGATAACTTGGTTTTATGAGCTGTCCGTTTTCTGATCCCCCTGCTAAGAGTTTAAGTTTTAGTGGGCTAAATTCGGCTGGGAAAACCGCCACGCTTCTCCACAAACTTGTTCAGAGGCAAACCCTGACTCCCCGTGGCCATGCTGTCAGAAGCTACGAGCACTTGCCTCTTCAAATTGGTTCACAAAAAAAGAGGGCGTGTTTTCACCATAATTACCACCCTGGGGCCATTGAAGCAATGGGGGGGTCATAAAGCCACCATTGTTTTCCTAAGGATTGTCATCATCCAAATTCCTAGGGTGCCACATTCTCAGGTACCCAGAAGGAACATGTTGCATGCTGAAACTCAGATGTTCTCGGCATCCGACCCTTCTGAAAAAAGCCAACACGACTGGATTTCACTGGCTCCAACAAGCAGCTCCCTCCCAACCACTCGCTGGGAAGCCTGGAACCTTCCAGCCTCGCCCTTGGCAAATCCTTCAGCCTTCGACTCCAGAACCACCCCTGCAATGGTCCACTCCACCACCTTGCCGGGCGTCCAGTTCCTCGGACATGTGTCCGTCTTTTGGTTTTGGCTATAGAAGTATAGATGGCGATTCCTGGCTTCATCTACCAGGGAAGTCATCTCCCCAAAAGGACTGGGTGCAACATCAAGAAACTCCCTTGACTGGGAGGGGGCTGACGAAGCCGGTGCTGGCTTGCACATCCAAAGGATATTTCAATGGGGCATCAGTAACCCGGGGCATTGCCTGCCAACTAGCAAGTCACCAGCTGCTTCAGACTCTCCCAACAAATTTCGGCAATGTCACTTAGAGATCATCACCCGACCAAAGGTGATGCTAACCCCGGATTGATCTATCTGGTGGACAAAGGGTGTCCCTTTTAAGGGCACTCTTGCTACCATGTGCTTACAGGACTCTGGGAAGCTCCTTTAGCTTCCTCTATCGAACCAAATTTTGGATACCCCCAGCTGCTTGGCTCCCTTCCCAACCACCAGCTAGCTTGGGCCCAATTCATCCACAGGGGTTGTAGATTCTGGCTCGACATTGGCTGCCCTCAGCTCCCCAAGTGACACTCTCCTGCAGTGGGCTTTATTCGGACACCCAACCACTAAACCAACGAAAAAGATCGAACAAGCTAAGTTGAACTGAACGGCTGCGGACCGCTTTCTACCCCCGGTTTGAGGATAAGTCTTTTATTTTCGTCTTTTAAGGGCGTTTGGTGGTTTTGAAGAGAAACCATCGGGAAAACCCTTGCGCCATTGGTGGGTTCCCCTTAAAAAACGACAGGGTTTCCAGCTTTTCCTCGAAACTCTGCATCTAAGGCGCATGAAGGCCCAGTAGGCGGAGCCGCCGGTGCGGGCGGCGCCATCCTCGCCCGCCATGGCATTGCGCATGGTGGGGTCCATGCTCATCAAGTGCGTCGCAAGCAGCACCTACGGAAATCAGGGGGGCTGGGGGTGAGGGAGGGGAGGGGGAGCCCAAGCAAGCTTTAAGCAAGCTTCATAAGGGCATAAGGGCTTAAATAAGGGCTCATTTGGGCTCCCTCCCTTTCCTCCCCCGCAGCCCTCATGAGGAAATCTGGCAGCTTTTCGCCTTTCTGCTTTTTCAGGGCGCACCCATATGTTTGGTGAGTTTTAAAGGGGAACCAAACAATCAATGACAATTGCTTGCCCATATGTTGTGTGGTGTTACAAGGACGTTTAGAAAGACAAATGACAATTTGAGAGGGTTCGCCAAAACAGCATACACCCTTGTGAGCGACGACCAAAACCTTTGAAAGGTTTCTTTGAGGTTAGGCGCCGCTACCATGTTCCATTGTCCCGGCAATACATGTGTTTGACCCGAGGTGGCTTTCCTCCTGTTTGCCTGTAATTAAACAAACCCACAAACGGGTACCGGACTCAAAAACCGGAACCACACCGCGATATGGGTCTGTCTTTCTTTGAGGGTTCCCAGTACCCCTTTTTGGGAAGTTTTAAAGGGAAACAAAAAACACAAAACATTGCGCCATTTTGTTGGCGGGCCCCAAGGATATGAGTGTTTCTCAAAATAGGGGTCCGCATTTTGGATGGTGAGGAGAAACCAACAGGACACCCACCAACTGAATGGGTCCTTGGTATTGAGAAACACCCCCTGGTACCCCACTTTCTTCCTATAATCTTACAGAAAACAAAACAACCAGGAGAAGAACAAAGACTACAAAAAACGGAACATGCGGCCATTTGAGTGGGTCCTCCTTGGGCCCTGGAACCCTTGGGTTCCTGGCCCCTGGGGCCCGTTTCTGAAAACCGGCCCCTGAAAACCGCTTCCAAGCCAACGGGTCGACGCGACCGCCGCTTTTCGGCGCCTGGTTCTCGCCGCAGCTGGGCACCGGGCACTCCCGGAGCTCCAGATCCGAGGCCTTGAAGCCCTCCGGCCCCGGCCTCGCCACGCGCGCCCGCGACGCGCGCGCTCGCGGCGCCCGCGGGCGTCGACTCCCAGTGGCCAGGGCCAGGGGTTTTGCGCAGCGGGCCAAAAGGATATGGCCCAAAAGGAAGGAACTGGGGGAAAAGCCGCAGGTCTTCTTGTTTCCATTGGCCAAGCTGCCAAGCTTTGGGGAATCCAACTTTTGAGCAACCACATCACTGCCTGAAGCAAGTGTCAGGGGTACGGTTACAGGTTAGACGTACACTCATGGAATTGAGGGCTCAATGGCTAAGCACTAAAGCTTCCCCGGCCCTTTTCCCACTGCCACCAGAAAAACGATCTTTGAAGGGGACTCCTTTTTCCGGCAGAATCCGAGTGACTCCGTTTTGGAGGGTTCCAACTTGATTTGCCCCAGTCGTCCCAATTTCTCTTGGACTTGCCATGTGGCGTTTTGCTGTGGGGGACAAAGGTGCGGGGTTCCCATGGTTGCAACTCGTGCCGTCTTCTCGACAACGCTCGTCTTGGTATATCGCATGCTACCCATCCTATCTATTTCGGTGCCCAAAAACCAAAAAAGTCGCCTTCGGACAGGGGACAAATGGCAATGGCGCCCATGCCTATGACCGGCGCGCTGTCACGGAAACGAGGGGGCTTAATAACTAGAGTCACGGATGTTCTTCAGGAACAAGATGCCAAATGATGTTCCTGCCACATCCAATCGGTCATGGGATGCCATGCCCTAGGTGCAATGCATTTCAGGCTACGCATGCCATGTGAGGGATCCCCAATCCGTAGAGAGCACTACAAGACGGGACCCCGCTGCCATCTAACAGGATCTTCCGGATTAACTTTGATCAAACAACCCAGCCATTTCCCGAAGATCACGCGCCTCTGCTTGAAGATCCACTCGCGGTTGGCCATGGCGAAAGTAGCGAGCGCCGCAAACCAAGGCACGCCCTTGAACATGCAAAGGTTGACACAGCCCGGACGCAGCGAACACGCCCATCACCAACACCGCCTGCATGCTGGATCATCTTCGCAACTTCACAAATGCAAGTGTGCTTCCAGCAAAGGCTCATTGTAGCCCAATCCTACATTCAAACATGTGGGTCTTCTTTTTCGGGACTTGGTACCCCTTTTCGGGTGCTTTGAAAGGAACACCAACAGGAAAACCTTTTTTGCCATGCGGCTTCTGCCTCACCTCCGGATCTGAGGGCCCAGCAGTTTGCGCGTGCTTCTGCTCTCGCTCCTCCCGCAGCTTCGTTTCTGCCTCGAGCATCCGCTAAGTCGCTAAATATATGTATATATATATATATGTATGTGACCGCCCATGAAAATGTGTGACCTCTGCCTTTTCATGCAGCATGTGGCTGTGGGTCAAAAATAGGTCCCCAAAATGGAACCCTGCTAAGTGGATTCAAAGTCCAAAACCTGTGGTCCCTGGTGGTTTAATGTTGGCCCATACCCATAATCATGAAAGTGAGGGCAATCTGATGAGCATGCCGCTCAACGCGGAAGCCTTGGCCGCTTCCTCCTTGTACTTTTTCTTGATGGCATCTGCCTGCCATGTCAGAATGGGTGCTTCTTTTTTTCTCAGGGTACCCGCTTTTGCTTGGGTTTTGAAAGGAAATCAAAAGGAAAGCCAACCATTTTGGGGGACTGACCTGAACAAAGACCCACCCAAAATATAAAATATGGAATTTGTTTGGACCCCCTCGTCCCCGTTTTCACCTCTTCTCACAGCATCCATGTAGCACCCTCCGCCCGCCGGTGCCTCCGGCCGCACCTTGGCCATGGCGCTATTCAAGGCTGTGAGGGTTGCCTGCGGACGAGCACGCAAGCCACCATTTAAAATTAAAGTAAAACAATGTATATGTTCCAAGTAAAAAAAATAATAGTAATTAAACAAAAATGAAATGTACCCTCCCACCAATTGACATGGAACCTGACCTTCGGGGGTCCCTTTACAAGGAAAATATGGTTTTGCAGGACCCCCCCTGTCAGGTGCCATGTGAATTGGTGGGAGGGCACATACATATATATATATATACACATATGTTTGCTGTATGTGTGTAACAAGCCTCCATTTAAAAACAAGATATGCTCCTCAAGTGGCTCTTGAGGCACATGCCCATTTTTCTCTTGGACCCCAAAAGAGATCGGCACCACACCGCGAAAAAGGAGGGCCTGGCTGTCGGAGACCGCCACTTCCAGCTCCTGACCCGGCTGCGTCGAAATGCACAGAGAAGGCTGGGCGGTCCCATTTTCAGATCCACTGTAAGACCACTGCAAAACCACTGTAAAACCACTGTAAATTCACTGTGACTGACTTGTAAAACCTCTGTAAAACCACGCAACCAACTAAAAAGAACCACAAGCCTAAGGAACCAGTCTAATAAAAGTTGGCGGTTCAGTGGAAACTACCACTGATCCAACCAGACAGCTGTTTAAAAACAAGAAAAGAAAGGGGATGGCTGGGAACCTTCAAGGATGATCGATGGTGGTTGTTGCAAGACCAAAACCAGTTCACACACACAAACAGACACAAACACGCGCATACACAAGACACACAAAAAGCAGACAGACAGACAGACGGACAGACGGACGGACAGACAAACAGACAAACAGACAAACAAGCAAGCAAACAAACAGAAGCAGGCAAGCAGGCAGGCAGGCAGGCAGGCAGGCAGGCAGGCAGGCAGGCAGGCAGGCAGGCAGGCAGGCAGGCAAGCAAGCAAGCAAGCAAGCAAGAAGACAAACAAAACAACAAAACAAGCAAGCAAACAAGCCAACCAAAACAAGACAAGCCAAAAGCAAACACACACACTAGAACCAAAACAAAAGGTTCGTTCCTTTTTTTTCCCAAACGTCGAATAGACTTTGCTGTCAGCTGGATGGCTTTCAAGGGGCTTTTCTTTACGCAAAGCCGATCAGCTCCGCTGGCCCCTCACCTCATCTTAGCTGAAGGTTTGGCATAGTCTGCCAACGTTAGCTTCTCAAATTCGTTCGTCTCGCTTGCTTGCGGGAGAAGAACATGCGCCTTTCTTTGGTGGCTTTTGAACAAACCCAGCCAAGCTGGACAAACAGGTGGAACGGCCACTGTAAGTGCTTTCGTTTTCCATCGCAAAGAGCACAGGAGCACTTGAGGCAGAACTTCTTTGATCAAGTTTGGCTGGCAATACCGCTAGCCCATTCGCGCCTGCTCCCATCATGGAATGGGGACTCCCATCCAACTTCTTTTCTCTGAATATGTCCGCTGTGACAGTAGAAAACGAATTGGACGTCCTCTTGGGCTTCACTTTCCCATTCAAGGGGAACCCGTTTTGGGCGAACTTTGAGCTTGCGGCATCCACTGCTTTCTGTTGTCTCCAGAGGATCCTCACAAGGCCCTTTCGGTATTGGTTGGACTCCAACGAGGCTGTTTCTCTGAAACAGAACCCCGATTTGTTCGGTGAGCTCAGCTCTCAACAGATTGGCCCTTTCAACCCTTCCGCCCTTTCGGCGGATACAAACACTAGACCAACCTGGTGACTTAAATACCTTTGCACACCAAACACGAAAACATCATCCTTGTGGGAAGAGAAGGAGAGATTTGGGATGACGGTACCTTGGGGATTCCTTGCTTCAGGTTTGTGAATGGTAATCTGCCCGGTGTTCTACGAATGCCCCAAGTTGGACACGGGAAACTTCGACCGGCTCCTGCTGCAGTGGCAACAGCACCGCCTCCCGCGCCGCAGAGGCGCGCGCCACCGCCTCACTTCCGGGGAGCCCTAGGAGTCGACCCTCGGGAAATTATCCAGAATGGATTGAAATATTGTAACACGGGCTTATCCGCAAATTTGTGCCTGAATGGTGTCAATACCCAGTGGGTGTATTCCCAAATTGTAATACCAACAAACCCAAAGATCACTGCTCTTGGCAAACCTGTGGGTCATAACCAAAGGTGTCCTTTTTGGAAAATGGATGGCCCTGGTAGATGATTGAACCGCCAGGTACACCAGGGCCCTCTATTTTGTAACCGAACCAACCCAAAAAAAAACGCCTATGGTCATAACCCTGGTCCCCCCCTACCTCCCCCCCAGATTCGCGTTTGAATGGGTTAACCAAACAAATCTGGGTGTTGACCCACACCCAAACACGAATATAAAGTCCAGGGAACTTATGGGAGCCTCAATAAGCTTGCCTTCAATACGTGGAGTTGTAACACGGTTGAGCAGGTCATGGGGTCCAGCCCTAAGGGCGTCCACATAGGCGTCCACATAGGCCGAAATGGTCGGTCATTCGACCCAGCATGTTCATTCCCGCGTTGAAAAGTGAGGGACGGCGCCACAAAAATGCTTTTCTTCGCCATTGTTTCTTGAAGCGACCTATGACCCTCGTCTTGAAGTAGCAGAAGAAACCGGATCTAGAGATCTGCGATGTCGATGCCACAGGCTCTGTCTTTGATGCTTCAAGGCCAGTAAGCCCGCCTGCGTGTCCACATACCGACCTCTAACAAAAATAGGTCACACGCAGTGTCCGCCTGTTTTTTCTGTCTTCCCAAGAAAGAGCAAGATTGGACAAGCAACAACGGCTTGCAACTACACGAAGTGGGGACCTCTATGCCAGGATTGTTCTGAAGAAATTAAAAAGGACTCCTATCCTTTGAAAGGCGTCCCAGCTTCGTCCCACACAGCCCCATTCACATGACGCCCTTCCAAGGCACTGTAAAAAACAACCTCCCGTTGGTTTCAAAGAGGGCCATGGTCTTGTTGAAGCCAAATTTGGCCACCCATCGTCAGATTTCCCCTAGTTGGTGGTTCAAATCTTTGATTTGGAGGTGCGTTGCTTTCCCAGGGTTTCAAACCCCAAGCCAATCCAAACCACCCATTTACCAGACTAGGCGGCCAAAAAGGAACGCATGCTTTTTGCACATGGGTCTGGCCTTTGTTTTTCGATCTACCTTTCTTGGTGGATTTCACGGGAACCACCAGGTAACTCTGCAAAAACCAAAGAATGCGCGCACACACACACAAAATCCATGTCGGGGGTCCCGGTCTGATTCCAAAAGACGAGGACGACCCAATCAGACAACAGCTACCAGCAAAACCCAAACTTTCGGGACCCTAACTCACATGTTTGCATGTTTGGGGTGGTTTAAAAGGGCAACTCAGCAAGAAGCCAGCTTTTTGCGGGTCCCCGATTTCAACACACACCTGGCTGTGGGTCAAAAGCCAAATCGTGCCCCAGTGAACATCCCAATCCAACCACTAACATAGGTTCTAGAATGGGTGGTGAATTCACACAATCCCAACCAAAATTGGGGATCCCAAAACGGTTTTGACAACCACAGCCACCTGAAAATGTGGACCATGACACAACTTCCCACCACCGCCGCCCGATTCCGTTGCCCGCCGCCCGCCTCGTCACAGGCCTCCTGCGCCAGCGCCTGCAGAGACTGCAGCGCCGCAGCCTCCTCCGGCGGCGTGGCCTTGCCTAGCGACGCACCGCGCGCGGGGCCCGACAGACCCAGACTCCTCCATTGGCGTTTTGGTCCCCTGGATTTTTGTTTTGTTTCCAGTAGTGAAATCGATTCCCAATAAAACCAACAGGGGAAAATTGAAAAAAATATTCTCCGATTGTCCAATTGGTGGCTTGGTGCCGAGTCAGTGGTTTGGAGCTTCAGGGTCCTAAGACTTCCTCACTCGCTTTGCTTTTTGTTCTGAGCGATTCCAACCTTTTTCTGTAACCAATGGAACCACCCTTAAGCGCAAAATGGCTGGTGACCTATTTAGGTACCTGGGATCCACCGTTGGGTTTCTGGCCTTGAGGCTTGAACCTTAAAAAACTCAGGGTCTGGTTTGGAGCCTGGAGGTGTGCCGAACTGGTTTCCCGTTTGCTCTCTACAAGAAGCAGGGGTTCAAATCCCCAAACCACCAATCCAAACCACCAAATACGGGTTCCCTGTAACAAAGAGTCCCCAACAAAATGGTGGTGTTTCTTTTGGTGTCCTTTTCACACCAAAAAAAAGGGGGGTACGCTCCAAAACAGACAGACCACAGGGAAGCCAAAGGGGATTCCCTGCGTAACCTCTTAACAGGCTTCCCTGTTCGCTTGCCTTTTCACCAAAAAACAAGGGGTACCAACAACCCCCCCACCCCACAAGCCCTCACAAACCCTTTTGGTGTTTTCTCCTTTCATTTTCCTTGTGACACACCCACCTGACAGGTGCACCAACAACCGAACAGAAGCGCAGCAGTTTCTTACTGGATTCATGATGCATTAAGGCCAACAAAAAACAGGGGTACCAACATGCAAACCCAACAAACCCTCACAAACCCTTTTGGTGCTTCTTTCCTTGTGTTTTCCCTGTGACACCAACAAACCCAACCAAAAACGGGGGGCCCTACGCCGCTTTGCTCTGATCGAACCCCTCGCTCGATCCCCGCGCGCTCCGCGCGCTCCGCGCGCTCCGCGCGCTCCGCGCTCCATGCACTCCGCGCGCCTAGGGCCAAGCTCTCTGCCTGCAGCTTGCGCTTCAGGGAACGGAGGCCTGACGCGAGGAGCGAAAAAGTCCCCCGCGAGGAGCGAAACACCCGCGGTGGGTGGTTGGGGTTGGAGTGGAGTGGGTTGGGGTTGGAATGGGGGGGGATGGGGATGGGGATGGCGAGGAATTCGTTGGGCTCTTTTCTTTCTTTCGTTCTTTCTCTTTTCTGTTTGGGGGGTGTTTTCGGTTCCTGCGAAGCTTGGGGTGGGACTCCCCCCGCCTGACGTCAAGACCTGCAGCGCCGGCGCGGCGCCGCCCGGAGGCCTGGGATCGGACACCCCACGTGGTTTTTGGCTTAGGGGCGGCTACGCGTCGTGGGGTAATGCGGCGGGGTAGCCACGCGTTTATAAGTATATAAGCTGGTTTTTTTCAGCTAGAGGTTCACGTTTTAGGGTAGGTGTTTAGGGGTTTAGGGTACTACATTCGTTTCAACGATCGTTCTTTTCGAAGATTGGCTGTTTCCCCCAAACAAGGTTGATGTTTTTCTGAAAGGAAGGACCCCAGGAAAGACTGGGGAAGCCTAGAACGCTACGTAGTTAAGAGCCCAAATGTTCGGGTTCCGAGGGTTCTGGTGGGAGCCTTAGGGAAGTCCCCCCATCCAGGGATTCCATACAAGTTCTGCCAAGGACCGTGAGGATGTGTGCATTTGTGTGTGACACAGCTGATGGCAAAGGTACCTCAGTTAGCACAAAGAAGAAAAGTGGAACCGCCGGATCTTCTCCTGAGATGGAGCAAATCAAGTGTGTGTGTGTGTGTGTGTGTTTGTTTTTGGGTGTTGCTACCTTTCACCTTCAGGCAAACTAACAGGAAATCACATCCATGGGGGTCGCCCTATTTAATCAACCCATGACTAACCACATACTAAGACTCCTGCACCTTTAAGTAGATGTCCTTTCAACAAAGCAATGCACTTGCACATGATGATAATTTAACTAGCTACCAGTGCCATTGATGTTCAACCGAACTGACCTGACAGGACAACTGCGTGCGATAGTTCATTCTTGCCGTGGGATCATACCCCTTGCGACAGTTCAGCCATGGGATCAAACCCCTTCATGCTTTTCAAGCCACGAGACTCTGCCTATGCCTCCATTTGCTTAAGCTCCCTGGAAAAAATAAACACCATATTTCCAGTAGTGATAGATTCCCTTTAAAACCATATTCTTAAGCAAATTAGAGTATGTCCTGCAAGATGCCCCCAGGCGCCGGGCGTGGCAGATCTCCTGGCGGCCGCAATGGACCAGGCTGTCTGCAGGAGGTTCGCCACCTACCCGTGCCAAAGACGAAAATGTCTGGCGCGGCAGGTGAAAACCAGACAACCTACGATGGATGCCAACTCATTATTGCAAGGGATAGGGAAACCCTCTAGCTTGCTGATCTTTCTGCCAGCTGCCATGGTTTTTGGGTGAGTATGGTTGGCTTACTTGCAATATCTAGGGCAATACCACCCCCCTAGCACCCAACTGCGTGGAACCAACACACAAGGGGTAGCCTCAAAAAAGACACACCCAAATGTGTCATGGTCAAAACTCCGGTTGTTCGGCAGATTTGGTCAGGGCTCCAACAGGATCCTTACTGCCATGTAGATGACCATCCCGGTTGACCCCAAGTAAAGGGGTGGCACATACGACCCCCTACCAGCACCCAACTGCTTTGATGTTCAGAATGCCAACTCCCGTTAAAAAAATAAAATAAAAAACAACAACAGGCCTGAAGCGCTTGGGGATGGGAGAAAGCAGCCCTAGCGTGCTGGTGTGAAAAGCATTATTTCAGTTGGATGTTCGCATACCAGATCGAGAGACAAGAAGTCGGAAGTGCGAAACCTCGACTCCTAGTCGGTAAGATTTCGCGCAAGTGGAAGCCGCAGGAGCTTTCAGACTGACCCCTTTTGCACACCACAGCGTGATCAAGTGGACTGACTTTTCAAGAAAGATGTGGAGCCGTCTCACATTGCCCGCCTCTGCGACTGCATCCTCTGCATTTAGGCGGATCAGGACCTCAATCCGGCTGCAAGTTGTCCAAGCACCTTGTCGCATGCGAAAGAAAGTTCTGTCTCAAAACAGGAGCCCCCCCCCAAACAATTCTCTCCCCCAGGCTTGATGGATGAGGATGATACACCCTAGAACGGTGAACAATCTCAGCAAAGAGGCGCCTTTGCGTTGGGGAATCCCCAATCCCAACCTGCAATGCGTGAGTGCATGGTATAACACAAGAAGTCAGGCATTTTGGGATCCTGCGGATTGTGTCTGAACAATCCAGACATTCGGAACCCGAAACCTAGACGAAACTCAGCCGCAGCCCTATGTGGGTGTCTCCTCTTTTGTCGGGGACCGCCCAACAAATGTGCATTGCCCTTTGGCTGCCCTGGAAACATAACCCAAAAAGGGGTGCCAACTTGAACTCCAAAAAAGACAGACCTGCTGTGGATGTGCAAATTCCTGCACCGCCTACGAAACCCCTGGAACGATTCAATTCCCCAACGTAAAAGCCAACAAATGTTATGGTTTCAACCATGGTTGCATTTTGCGGTGCGAGCAGATTTTGCAACCATCCACAGTATGTTAGTTTTCTGTCTGGCTTCCCTTTCAAACCACCAAACAAATGGGGGTACCACCTACAGACTGCCTGCTGCCATCCGCATCTTCCCTTGAGGCGCCCCACGCCGTGATCGACCGCCATGGACTTGCACACCTCGGGCTCGTAGCTCGGCACGTGACCTGGCCATTGAAACCGCGAGGCTAATTCTGGTCCATAGGTACCTCAGGGTATTTCTGGTCCATAGGTTGGGGATGTGGTTGTTTTGATTGTCTTTTTGTTTTCAAACATCTACAAAAAGGGCAGCCTCAAACTGCGTCAACAAAAATAAGAACAAACAAAACAATCGTTGTGTGTGGTTCAATCATCACTCATCTTGCGCATGTGCCACAAGTGCCACGGAATGTACGGCATAAAACCCCATCTACTTCTGTCCCCAAACTAAACGATCAAAAGGACACCTACTGTGGACGAACAAAATCCGTTCGCACCACGTCGAAACCATGGTTGAAACTGAAATATGCGTTGGTATTTACAGGGGAATCGAATCATTCCCGAAGCTTCTTAGGTGGTGCGACATGAAATTTGTCCACCCACAGTATGGCCAATAGACTACTTCCATTTGCTCAAGCCAACGCACATATTCTCCGCAGTGATCGATTCCCCTTAAAATCAAGAAGGGAAGATAAGACATATCCAACACTCGCAAGCAAATGGAAGATCAGCTTCAGGGTTACATGGAAACCTCCACTCACCACTAGAAGGCCAAAAAGCTAAGGGGACACCAAGAGTGAAACAAACCAACCAAGGAGCACCGACCTACGAATTCTCGGTGTGGCCACCGGCCTTGAGCCTGCGTCTGCAGCAGGGCACGCATCCGTTGCCTTGCTCGGCGCTTGGCCATGCCCAAGGCCGCCTCAGGTGGCCGGGCGCCAAACATGCCGAAACCAGAAAATGGGTCCTCCGGTAGAGAGGTTCGAATCATAGGTGGCCTTTTGGAAAAATAGATGGCCCGGGTACATGGAAGAAACCCCACCTAAACCAGCGCCATCTACTTTTAATCAAACTAACCTAAAAAGGGCACCTACGGATAGAATAAGGGAACCAACTTGTTGTGTCTATTTCAGTAGGGAAACATCCGCCCAAACCAGGGGACAGAAGGGCAACTAGCTGGGGGACCTAGACAAAATGGGTGCGTCGTTTTTTTGGAGTGTATTCAAGAGGAGGCGGTTCAAGGCGGCGGGGGGGATGTCCCTAAGGCTCCCGGAGAAAATATAGGGAACCCTAAGAAACCCTAGGGCTCTCAACTACCCACCCCCGTTGTAC